ATTGTTCTGAATTTATCTTTGGCAGGGGGGACCTGGAACACTTGTCAGTTTTCAAGTGTCAGGAGAAGATTGTTCTGAATTTATTTTTGGTATTTATAGAGGATTTGTTGTGGCAGAAGAAGATTGGTGATGGTGCAGTGAAAAATAATGGTGGTCAAGGCGATGTGGTGGTTGTTGGGTTCACGTCACACAGTTTGAGGTTGGAATAAGAATATCTCTGAGATCCAGTGAGGAGGCGGATTCAAGGTTGAAGGGTCGAGACGACTAAGAAGATACACCATAGTTCCAGCTTTCTTACTTGCTCTTCTCGATATAATTTTGAGTCCACTGTGCTCTAAAGGGGAGTTTCCCTTTTTTTTTTTACTTATTATCTTTATTGCAAGTCTTTTATATATGTGCTGAGGCTTGTGTGTTTGTGGTTCTGTTTCTAGGTTAAATGAGATTAGCTTTTATTTCAACATGAGATACTTTAAAGACAATTTAACAGTTGGTGAATTTGGACGATCATGAGAAGGTGTCCGTGAGCAAGGTGGTGGCCATGAACATTAGGCTTAGATTATTTTTTTTAGTGTTACCAAATTTTGGTTTAGTTTGATAAACCATTTTAATTTTGTAAACAATATTGATTTATAAAAACATTAATTTTTTGTATTTTGGAATTTATTTACTTTAAATATATATTTTTCAAAAACCATATAAACGCTATTATAATGTTTACCCTATAATAACAACAATAGCATGTACAAAATGCTATAATATATGAGAAACTTAAGATAGTTGGGGCATACATAGATGTTTCAATAACGCTAAAAATAGCATATAATAGCTGTTTTTCTTATGCTAAGAACGATCATTTTTTTGTAGTGATGTTTGTCTAATATATTATAAGTTTCTTCATTATAATACTTGAGTTCCTTCAGCTGTCAAACGATTTCTTCCAAAAGCTTGACCAACACTGTAGAGAAATGAATAACAAATCACATGAGTATCAAACAAATCAAATAAAGTATACATTATTTATGTGATACTTTTTTGAATAAAAATATAACTTTGTGTACAACTAGTCTAATCCATTCAAAAACCAAGCAGTAAACAAAAACATATTACATTTTGTTCATTATTATTATGTTCATACTGTCATCAGGTACAATCTTAATCTTTAGATTAGTTAATTTTTTGTTATAATGTTTTGAAAAGTGTAAATATGCTTGGAATTTTATAAACTATACTCTAACAGACATACAGTGAGTTAGTATGGATTTAACCTTATTTTCAGTGACCTATTGAATTCATGAGTAACTATATGTATTTACAGATCAAAATACTCCCTCCGTTTCAGATTATTTGTCACTCTAGGTTTTTACACATAGATTAAGGAAACATTTAATTTTACATATTTTCAATATAAAAACACAATTACCAATACACCTAACCACTTTTCAACCAATAGAAAAATAGAATATCATATAAACATAATAAATTTTGTCTCGAAACTCTAAAACGACACTTATTTTGAAAGGAAAATTTTCTTCTAGAATGACATCTAATTCGAAACGGAGGGAGTATCATTTTATATTGTATACGAAAAATATTAAAAAAAAAACATATCAGTAGAAAACAGAATATAATTAATATATGGTTTGTCTATTTCCGATGTTGATTAAGTTTGATTATTTCAATTGAATTGAACCATATTCAATCAAATACTAACGGTCTTTTGAGGTTAGAAAGCCAAAAATCTTAACTAAACCATATTCAATCAAACGGCCATTTCATACCCAACATATTGGAATATGTTTAGTTCACACCCAGTTTATACGATCGTACAAAAACATATATATTTTTCAAAAAATTCAAATAACATACTTACTATTTACTATTTTTGCGAAATCATACCTCACTCGCCACGCTATCACATCATCTATTTTGCTGACGTAGATGATGTTTAAGCTAATTTTACTGACAACGATGTCACGTGTATAATATTGACAAAAAATAGAAATAAATGTTTTATAAAAATATTTGTTTAGCACATGTAAAGAGTTTAGGTTAACATATTAATCTCTTAACACAAATGTTTTCACATGATTACATAACCGATCTAAACAGTTTCTATACAAACGCATAACCAAGATTAACATAAGTGTAATTGATATGATCGAAACATTATAGCGAATATAAATTTTATATAAGACTAAAAGTTTATTGTTTAATAAATTTTTGTTAATTTTACTAAATAATGTCAAAATATTTTTATAAACTTTTACATTATTAAAAATATATATTTTTATAAAAAACTATTTTAAAACTAATTAATATAGACGTGGCATCGTTGTCGGCAAAATCAGCCTATGTAGCATCCACGTCACCATAATTAGATGATTTGCAGTAGATCTGGTGATTAGAGTATGATTTTGGCAAAAAAGTAAACAATAGGTGTTTTATTTGAATTTTTCTAAAGTAAATGTATGATTTTGCATGGTTATATAAGTCGGGTATGGGTTGAACATATTACGATATATTTGGTATGAAATGGCCATTTTCCCAGATACACACATATAAATAATTGAAATTTAGGTAAATATAATTTATTTATTTATCTATTAAAAGAACTAAATAAATACTTAAAGCTTAATCATTAAACGTATATCGAGTAATTATGCTTGTTACACAATTTTTCAGTAGGTAAATATGGAATTTATATTTAATACTAAAAAAATACTTTGACACCAAGGAATGAATTGCCTAAATATTTTTGTTAGTAAAGGAAAACGGTAATAACTAGGGTTTTCGAAGTCATCAATTTCAGCCCCATTCAGATATTATAAAAATCGGATAGAATATTGTTCGAGTTTAGTGGGGGTTGATTCGGGTTTAGTTACATGTTCAAGATCCGGTTGAACCCGAAATAGTTTCGCTTTGGGATACTAATCGGGTTATCTGTTTTAAAAATATTAATTTATACTTGATTGAACTCAAAATAATTTTTCAATCATTTCAATAAATTTGTGTACTTAGTTTCTTCAAACCATATTTTTAGCATTCAAAATAAAATTTTGAAACTTTTCTATCAACCATACGAGACTTGTCATTGAACTATGCATAACAGCATTAAACATTTTATGATTCATAACAAACCAAAACCTTGTACGGAAGAAAATTATACAAATAAAACATATAAAATTAATTAAAAACTAATAATTCTACAAACATATGAAGCATGGTTTAAACTTAAAAAACAACATTGTTTAAACTTAACAGAATTTTATTCATAACTAAACTTCAAATACAATATCAAACATAAAAACATTAATATCAACCAAATAAAAATATATATTAGACTATGTATTTCAGTTAATTATTCATTTAATAACTAATTATTGTAGGTACTCAAAAATCTCTTAGTTTGTTTTGGCTACATATTAGAAACTGAGATTATGTATGGTACAAGTGTTTCTTTTTTTTTGAATTTTGAAGTTTCAGGTTCTTTCAGATATCCATTTATGTTCGGATTCGGTTCGGTTCGGGTGAAACTCATAACCCGAAATACTACAAAACAAGATATATTTCATACTTATGTCGGGTTCCGATCGTTTAAGATTCATTTTTATCATGTCGGATTCGGTCCATAATTTTGGATTCGGTTTATTTTCCCAGCTCTAAATCTAGCTTTACTAATAGTTTCAAAAATAAATGAAAAATTACTGTTAGTGAGAGGTAGTAACCCTTTTTAAAGTTATAGATATTTGAAGTACTATTGAGTTTTCTTTCCATAATTAAGTTTTCACTAAAGACAAAAGAGGAATGATTTTGTTTTAATAGTATTAATTTTTACGATTTTAAAGCTTTTGCTAGTTATTCTACTTGGGATTAACACGATGTGACTTGAAAGAACAGATTATTATATTTCATCATAAATATATTTGAATCGAAATTTGACTAATCCAAAAGGGATCAAATTTAATAGCCCTTTTATAAATCCTTAAATTTGTATTGACTATCTATATTATTAAAATTGAAGTACAAAATAGAATTAATTTTATTTTTAACAAATTTAGTATATGTTTTTCTTGTTTTCAGCCATCTTAACCATTTTATTAATTGATTCTTTTCAAATAAATTATCAACATTAGTTACATATTTTTTATTTTCTCAAACTTTCAGACGATCACATTATTTTTTTGGATTAATGAAATTAAACTTACGATGTTAATTACATAACATTATTAAGTTGAGAGATGTTGCCGTGCATAACATATCCTTCTTGTACCTAGATGTATATTAGTCTAATTTGCATCGCTAGCATGTAGTGGTCAATTCTTTAGGTAGCCAGCAAACATTTTTCTATTTTAAAATTAAATTTTGTTTGATATCATAAATTTTTGGAAAGGATTCAAGTTGGATTCTTTCGGATCCGTAGAGGTTCGTAGAAACCTAAAAATATAAATGACATATATTTATATGTGCAAAAAATTATTAAAGAATTTATCAAAAAATAAAAATTAATTTCGAACAGACGCGCAGATCAACCTCTAGTTACTCGTTACATGTCAAACACTAGATATACTTAATATATCAAAACAAAGTTTCATTTTCACAAATTTATAATTACAATTATACAAATATAGAGAAAACAGGAAAATAAAACTTATACCATATTATTTTCATATATATAAAAAATATTTGAACTAAAAATTAGAAAAATCCACACATGATGCTGAGATGTAAAAGCCTAATAGGGACTTTTAAAAGTCTAGTAAGAGAAGTTAAAAGTTAACGTCAACTAGTCCGTCAACTGGTCCATTACATTAAATTTGTGGTGTAAGGCTCTGGGTTCACTTATCATGTCTTGGGTGGTACATATGTAAGTCAATGATTATGAGTCAAGAGAGATAATAATGTAAATAAATAAATAAAAGACAATAATTAAAAAGACTATATACTATACATAACCAAAGCTTAAGCTTTCCAGTGTAAATAAAGAGAGAGAGGGAGAGCGTAAAACCCCCGTCCACGACAATGCCCACGTATATGCTCTTCACCGTCTGGTTCCTCCTGTGTATCCCCGGTTCGGTTCACCTGGTTCGAGCTTTAAACGAAATGGGAGTCACTATTCATCCCGAAGAAGGTCTCTGCTCTGTCTTAATTAATAACAACTTGTTTGGTTTAAATAAACTGACGGTTGGTTGTGTGATAAACAACAGCGGAAGCCTTAACTTCAATATTGGCGGCTTGGAATATCCAAGCGCCACAGGAATGGAACATAAGTGGCGAACTTTGTTCCGGCATTGCCATTAACGACATCATCATCATCGACGACCAAGCTCACAACCCTCTTATCAAATGCGACTGCAGTTTCAACGAGTCTACAATCTGCCGCATCACCGCCCTGTACAGTACATCTACCCTCTCTTTTTTTTTGTCTTTTTGCATTCACCCACTGAACGTTGCCTTGTTGTTGCTCACTTCCACAGAAAGGTTTATAAGTTGAATGTTGTAGGACCTATACCTCCCCAGCTCTGGACTTTGACATACCTCACAAACCTGTATATACTTTACGTTTCTCTTCTTTTTCTTATCGTAATCATCCAAACAGAGCTTGTAAATGCATTTATTGTACCTCAAAATTATATGGTTCTCTCTTTCAGGAACCTAGCTCAAAATTTTCTTTCAGGCCCTCTCTCTCCTGCAATTGGAAAGTTGGTTCGAATGGAATGGCTGTAAGGCTGTTGATTGAATGATATCTTCTTATTCTTCCTTTTCTTAATTTCTCTTTCTTGTCACTCTCACCTGTTTCTCAACCACCGTAGAACTTTTGGAATCAATGCTCTGTCTGGCCCCTTCCCCAAGGAAATTGGTTTGCTTAAAGAGTTGAAATCACTGTAAGCTTTTTCATTTTTCTTACAATATATCATAATGCTTCCTTATTACTAAAATTATCTTGAAATATATTTTTTGCATGCAGTAGTATTGGTCTAAATAACTTTTCCGGTTCTATACCAGCTGAGATTGGGAATATTAAAAACCTACAGAAAATGTGAGAATGTATTCATTTCGACAGTGCATTTAGTATGGAAACTTAACTAATAGCCTTTCAAAATAATTTAGTGTTGTAAGCATTTCTTACATTTTATTGCAGATACTTATCAAATTCTGGACTTACAGGGCAAATACCTTCATCATTTGCAAGTCTTGTAAACCTGCAAGAAGCGTAAGATTTTATTTTTATCAAATTCGCATATAGCTAAGTCTTATCGTTGTATTTCAACATTTCTGTAATCATTATATCTACTAATTTATATCATTATTTTTGTTTGAACCTGAGGTGGGTTTCTCCTTGATGTTTGTACCAGTTTGATCACCGATCTGGACATTACTGGTCGGATACCGGAGTTTATAGGAAAATAGACCAAACTTAAAATCTTGTAAGAAGGATTTTAGTTTTACTGAGTTATATATCTTTGTTACATTGCTCATCGATATCAGCTCATGTTTTACATCGTTTATCTTAACTTTACGCTAAGTGGAAATTTTTTCATGCTATTGCTACAATGTTTTTCCTAGTTAGTTTAATAAAAAAATATAATATTTATTTGGATAGACCAACCTATTTTCTAAAGATTTTAAGAATATCGTAGTGATGATGACTGACGTGAATACTAAAACATGTTGTAATGTTTCTCAATTATTATATAGAGATATCTTTGTTACATTGCTCATGCTTTATAAATTTTATCCGTACTTTACGCTAGGTGGAAAAAATTTCATGCTATTACTACCATGCTTTTACTGCAGGAAAATTCTCGGAACTGGTTTGAGCGGTCCGATACCGTCGTCATTTTCCAACTTAACTTCTTTGGGCGAACTGTATGTATTGTTGCATACTTGCATTGGTGTCATAATCATTCTTGTTTACTATTTTCTATTTATTTTCATCTCTTCACCTAAATGTAGGAATCTTGGTGATATATCTAACGGAAGCTCTTCCCTTGAATTCGTTAAAGACATGAAATCTCTAACTATATTGTAAGGCAACAATTCAGGAACTGTTTCCTTCTTCTCCTTACGTGTATTTAATAATGATGATATTGTCGTAGAGTATTGAGGAACAACAATCTCACTGGGACAATACCCTCTAGTTTTGGGGAATACTTAAGTCTACAACAAGTGTAAGTACAGCATATTTTGAAGAATTTTCTGCAAAAGTGAGTGAGATGATTTGTGAAGTCACAGCGACAATACCAAGTTATCTTAAGCTTGCTGATAATATTATTTCTCATTTTCCCCCATTCACTGAACTTAATCTGTCACCGTTCTGATTTCCAGTGATTTAAGCTTTAACAAACTACATGGACCAATTCCAGACTCACTTTTCAACTTAAGTCAACTAACTCACTTGTAAGTTTTCTATTTCTTTCTGGTCTATATGTTCGTATCAATCTGTGATAACTGTGGATAACAATGTTGTCTTTATATTAGGTTTTTGGGAAACAACACTTTGAATGGTTCTTTGCTCGCTCAAAAGAGCCAAAGTTTGACCAATATGTGGGTTACAATTTAATTCCTGATATGGAATGAAGTATTGTACAAGATAATCAGGAAACTGTTTTGGAATATGTAACATATTGTGTAGATTCTAATCCTTCTTCTTGTATTATTTCAGAGATGTTTCGTATAATGATTTGGCTGGTACTCTGCCTTCATGGGTCAGCTTACCAAACTTGAAACTGTAAGAAAACAAAACACTGTATCTCTACTTATAATCACAGTGCTTTTTTAGACGTCAAAAAAAAATCAGTCCTTTTTCAAACTCCTAAACTTTTTGCTTCCTTTTTTAGTAGGAAAAAATATTATAATCATAAACAAAACCATTTGTTATTTGTGCAGCAACCTTGTTGCTAACAACTTCGACTTGGAAGGTCTTGATAAGAGGTGATTTTATTAAATATGTTCTTCTTTATACCTGATATTCCAATTTCATTACTGTAATCTACTTTCATATTTTTACAAGGGTTTTACCAGGACTAAAGTGCCTGCAGAAGAACTTCCCCTGCAATCGAGGCAAAGGAATCTGTAAGTATGACAAACATATATCATCGTAACAGTTTTTCTCAACTGTGCTTGTATTTTCTTTTGAAAACAAAAGTTTCGTAAGGTTTTTATGTTGACTGGTGTCTAGATTCTGACTTTTCCATCAAGTGCGGAGGGCCACAGATACGATCGACCATTACAGGAAAAGTATTTGAGAGGGAGGACGAGGATCTTGGATCATCTTCATTTTTCGTGAATGATGTAAACAGATGGGCAACCAGTAGTGTAGGACTTTATGCCGGGAATATCAATAATATATGGGTTATCAACAGTTTGGACGGAGAACTTTTTCAGACAGCAAGACGTTCTTCATCTTCACTAAGATACTATGGGTTAGGGCTAGAAAATGGAGGCTATACCGTACAACTTCAGTTTGCTGAAATCGAAATCCTTGGTTCTAAGGATTGGAAAGGTTTAGGAAGAAGACGTTTTGACATATATATTCAGGTATGATCCTACCACTTTACAAGTCCACTTGGTGAATAATCATCTTTCGGAATTACTGAGACCTAGCTCCATTTTTACAGGGAAGACTTGTTGAAAAGGACATTGATATACGCCAAACAGATGATGATACTACTGTCCGACCAGTTCAGAGAGAATATAAAGCAGATGTAATGGAAAATTATCTGGAAGTTCATCTTTTCTGGGCTGGAAGAGGAACATTTACTGTTCCTACTATAGGTACTTGTGGGCCACTAATATCGACCATCAGTGCCAAACCAGGTATCACAACAACTGGCTAATTTCTTCTTTTTTTTTTTTCTGTCTTCTCCCTAATGCCTAATTGTTACATGTTAGATTTTATACCAACTGTGAGCAACAGACCACCATCAAAGAAAAAATATAGGACGGGTACTGTTGTGGGTGCTAGTGTTGGCCTAGGACTTTTAAGCATCATTGCAGGCGTGGTTATCTTCATCATTCGAAAAAGCAGAAAGCGTTACACAGATGATGCAGGTAATAATAACAACACAAACAAAAGTCTTTTAAGCTTGAACATTATCTTTCAAATTGGTTCATATTTTTGCTGTTCCAGAGCTACTTAATATGGACGTAAAGCCTTACACTTTCGCTTACTCTGAACTTAAAAGTGCCACTGAAGATTTCAATCTCTCAAATAAACTTGGAGAGGGAGGATTTGGGTCTGTTTATAAGGTAATCTCCAAACTAAGTAGCACTATAAGAGGAAATGGCATAACTAAAACTTATAGAAATGAGTACGTCATAGATACAGTAATATATATATATATAGATATATATGCATATCGCTCAAAAACGTTGGAAATAATGATTAAATTATTGTGTGGACAAGCATCTCGGCTGCACGAGAATTATTGTTACTAGGGGTTAGACAAAAGATTCATTCAGGGTATGAAGTGAAGGCATGGGAGGATCCATGGATTCCAATAATCCCAGCGAGACCAGCACATGCAACAGCCCCGGTTATGCATCCAAATATACGAGTGAGTGATCTTATCAATCAGGAAACAAAGTCTTGGGACTTGGACAAGCTGACAAGATATGTCGACGTAGATGATATACCTCTCATACGGAGTATAGCTATCAGTTCGACCTATCGCAGAGATACACACTGCTGGAGTTACACTAAGAGTGGACAATATACAGTCAAGTCTGGCTATTGGGTAGCTCGTAATATGCTTATGAAAGAGGATGAGATCTTAGTAGACGAACCAAGCTTTAAAAGGCTACAAGCACAAGTTTGGAAGGTTAAAGCGCCCCCAAAGATGTGTCATCTTATGTGGCAGATTATATCGGGGCAGGTGGCTGTTACGAGTGCGCTAAATCGCAGACACATAAGGTGTGATAATGTCTGTCCACGATGCGGAGAACTGGATGAAACAATTACACATGCAATATTCCAATGTCCGCCAGCTTTACAAGTATGGGCCCTGTCATCGATTCCAACCAGTGTTACTTTATTCCCTTTGGAGAACACTTATTCGAATATGGATTATCTGTTCTGGCGGAAGAAGAGTATTTGTGGACCAGAACTAGACAGAGATCCTTTTCCTTGGTTGATATGGTACATTTGGAAGGCTCGGAATGATAAGCTATTTAGAGGTATTGATAGGGATCCTCTGGAATTGGCCCGGTATGCAGAGAGTGAGTGCCTTGCCTGGTTCCAGGCTAATGAGCAGGATATTGTGATTACACAAGAGGAAGGAGACACTGAGCGGCAGGTCATATGCCTACGCAATATTTGCATGATAGATGGTTCTTGGACCTCTACGGATCAATTTTCGGGTTGTGGATGGGAATGGAAGGATAGCTTGGGAAACAGTCATCTGATGGGGATGCGTAATGTGAGCAGAGTGGAGTCGGCTTTGCATTCTGAGCTGGAGGCGCTGCGGTGGGCAATGGAGAACATGCTTCAACATTCGCCATGTCAGAGCTTTGGGACGGATTGTAAGGATTTGGTAGCAATGCTCAATGACCCTCACGGATGGCCAAGCTTTTCGACGGAACTTGAGAGGATTTCGACATTACGGATTTGTTTCTCAGATTTTCAGATTTCTTATGTACCTCGAGCTTTAAATACTGTGCCAGATCACTTAGCTAAGACTGCCCGATCCTTTTATCGGGACCTTATGTATGTTGGTTGTTCTATTCCGGTCTGGCTCCCCAGACCACCTCAAGCTTGAGTAATAGATCAGCCTTTCGTTGTCAAAAAAAAAAAAAAATAATGATTAAATTATAAATATTTTCTGTTAGAACAAATCAATATAATAAATCAATGTAGCTTCGTTACAAAAATGTTTTTGCTATGGAAATCTAATATACCACTAGGTAATAATCCGCGCCTTGCGCGAAATGAGATTATTACTTTTGTTACTTTTAAGATAAAATAATATTATGTATGTTTAGCATGAATATTGATTCAGTTTTACATTGTATTTTTAATCTCCTAAAATATAACTATCATTCTAAATCTATATTTATTTTGGTTTGTTTGGTTTAAAGGTTTGATGTTTTTGATTTTTGCAATGATAACCAAAATCTATTGTTATTTCTTTGGTTTTGTTTTATATAAATTTAAGGTATTTTATGTCAAACTAATAGTTTCCTATTATAATTTATAAAGACATATAAATTCAAATAAAATATAAATAATATTTTAACAAAAAAAAATTATTAACATAAAACATTTCACTACAATTTGAGCGATAGAGAAAGAAAACAATAAAAAAAAAATTCAACTTCAATAAGAATTAAAATTCTCACTTGTGGTTAATATTTAGTTATATAGTCGCTCATATCAATGTGTATATGTATGTATATGTAAAAGTATATAAATGTGATGATAAATATATGAATATACTGTTGATAAAGATTTAAAACATTATTGTTCAAAATAACTCATGATAGTAAATTCTTAAATAAAATTAAGTAAAAATAAATTAAACCTAGAAATTATAACATTTTTTCATATGAAGAAAATCAAATTGTACCGTAAACAATAAAATAATATATATTAAAAAATGACATCTTCACTTGGTACCTGAATTTTGTTTTTAATCGATTTTGTGTTTTTTATTTCTTTTTAAAGATTTTCTGATTTTTGATTTTTTTCTACCAATTTGATTTTGTTTCTAATTCTTGGTCTGATATGAAAACTTTATAAAAATGTTAATATTTGACTAAACTAAAGATCCGACTTTACGTGTGGTATTTTTTACCTCAGCTTCTTTAATTCATAATCAATCACCTTATTTGTTGTTAACCATGACCAACTTCGGCAAGGTATGAAACTTTCAATTTCTACAAACATTTTCATCGCAACATTTCAGTAGATGCGAATTTTAATGATTTTGTATCAATACCATTAAAACAGGATCACTCACTTTAATGAAATTGTTTTTTTTTCCAAAAATACCCTTAGTAATATGAACAAATTTTTATTTTCATTAATGGCAATATGGTCTTTTGGCTTTTGGACCTACAAAACTAGATACTACTGGGTTTTATTTATGGGCCAAATTCACCTTCTAATTATTAACCCACTGGTCCTGTCCCATTCGACCCGCCACGGAACAGATCAATCGATATTTGGAAAAAACTAAGTTGCGGGTGCGGATGCAAGTCAAATATATTTTACACGGGACGGATGCAAATTGTTCTAATTTCAATTATGGGTATCCAGTAATCTGCGAAAATAGAAAAAAAACTTTAAAAAATTATTTTTCAAAAATATACTAAATTTCGTTAAAATAATAATAATTTTTTTTGAAAAAATACAAATTTAGAAAATGTATTAAGTTGGGCGGATACGGAAAAAAATTCTTTTTTTTTGTAGGTCAGGCGGGTTGGGCATGGCGAGTTTGACCCGCTTTCCAGCACCGAGCGTAGTTATTTGATATTATTTTTCCAAAATAAAACTACACAATTACATATAATACATTTACATAGATACTGATGATAATAATATATTAAAATCTACAATAATTTTAGAAATTTATATTAGACAAGAACATTTTATATCATCAAAGCAAAAAAAACTTATTAATCCATGTGTAGATAGAACAACAAAAATGGTACCCGCGCTTTTTAAGCGTGGGTCAAAAATCTAGTTTTTTTTACAATAAAGATATTAATCATTAGTTTCACGTTGAAAGTTTTAATTTATTAATATAAAGGCTAAAAATATAGAAAATGAATTAATTTAAAAAATAGCGTATAAACATATTAAATAATGAATTTAAAAAATTAGTGTGTGAACACATTTATTGCCAAATGATTGTGAAGCCGTGTCAATTTTAGTGTGAACTCATTTATTACAATCTTCTCTTTTAATATATAAGAGATTTTAGTTTTGGCTTGAAACTTTTTGGGGACATCTTTATAAAATGGATGAAATTAATACGAATGTGTTTTTGTTATGCTTTAACACATCTAACAGGGGAACCTGGCTGATGGAAGAGAAATCGCTGTGAAAGTGTTGTCGGTTGGATCTCAACACGGGAAGGGACAATTTACTGCAGAAATAATTGCGATTTCTTCAGTTATGCATCGCAACCTAGTAAAGCTTTATGGGTGCTGCTATGAAGGAGATCATCGCGTGCTCGTATATGAGTATCTTCCAAATGGAAGTCTTGATCATGCTCTATTTGGTAATGAACAGATACATAACTCCTCTAAAAAGCTGAATTACTCATTCTTGGCATGCAACAGGAGGGATTTTACATCTTGATTGGTCAACCCATTTTGAGATATGCATAGGAGTAGCCAGAGGTCTAGCCTACCTCCATGAGGAGGCGAGTGTTCGTATAGTACACAGGGATGTGAAGGCCAGCAACATTTTGCTTGACTCTAAGCTGCACCCAAAAATTTCTGATTTTGGGCTTGCAAGGCTATACGATGAAAAGAAAAGCCACATAAGTACCCGAGTGGCAGGAACCATGTATGCATTCCCAACACCATCTTTTTCTTCTTTGCAGCACTAATATATTATAATTATTTATCACACATCTGTTTGTACAAATCCAAGTGGATATGTTGTGCCGGAGTATGCCATGCGTGGGCACCTAACAGAGAAAACATATGTTTATGCTTTTGGTATTGTTGCTCTTGAGCTGGTTAGTGGAAGGAAAAATTCGGATATGAACGTGGGAAATGAGAGGAAATATCTTCTTGAATGGGTAGGTCATTACTTGAAAGGTGTTTATGAAAAGCTGATATAATCCTAACAAAATTTGTGTATACAGGCATGGAATCTACACGAGAATAGGCGTGAAGTTGAACTAATTGATCAAGCCCTTACTGAATTCAACATGGAAGAAGTAAAACGTGTGATAGGAATTGCTCTACTGTGCACATACTCATCTCATTCCCTGAGACCACCGATGTCCAAAGTGGTGGCTATGCTTTCAGGAGACACAGAGGTCAGTGAGGTAACCTCTAAGCTAGGCTGCCTAACCGACTGGAGATCTGATGACACCTCAAGCTATTCTTTTAGCGCCTTTCAAACTAAAGAAACAGGCGTTTCTGCATATAACTCGATGAGCTTTGTGATGCCAAGTGACAACGACTTTAAACAAATGCTCGGAGTCAAGATCAATGAGGGGAGATGATAATCTCGGTTCTATCTATTATGGTCTATACATGTGTATGTAACTATAATGAAGATCAACTTCATGTAAGGTATTCTCTTGGTCTGTATCTTAAATAGTTGTAAAACCCCATGTTTTGAATCTACCATACATGATTTACAAGTTTTGTAGTTGTGATGTGATATTAGATAGAAGATTGCATAATTGTGTTCACAATGAACTAATTGAGGATTCAAAAATGTGAATGGTATGTCTATTAGGGAATTGGATAATCAACACCGGGTATAATCATAAGGAATAACAGAATGTCGGGAATCAAAGCTGATTATTATTTTGAATTGAAGTGGATAAACATGTAGAAAACCTAGTATAACTTTGTTAAATTAGACTATTATAACTTTGTATTAGTTGAACCGTAAATATGTGTTACTAGGTAAAACTTTAGTGACAAAAACATGTAACTAGGTGAAACTTTACTGAGAGAACTGTGTAACAAGATATAATTTTGTGTAATTTTAGTAACATAACTGTATAAGTAGGTCTAACTTAGTATAACTTTAATGGTATAACCGTATAACAAGATTTAACTATGGATGTTAAATAGGGCTAAGAAATTTAGGGTTGGCCCTTGCCGTCCAAAAAATTAAGAGCTCTAACCCTAATGTGTTACTTTTAAAGTATTTCGTACTAGTTTAGGGTTAGGTATAAAAACTAAAGGGTTTAGAAAAGGTTGAGCCCAATTAAATAAAATAGTTAATTAGCACATATACACAAATAAGTGTCATATTTGCAAGCATTGAAAGTTTTGCATTGAAAAGTGGGAAAGTAGGGTGTAAAATGACTTAGATAATCTTTTTTGTTGAACTAAAATTACTCTAAATAGATAAAGTAGGTTTAGGGGCTATGCATAGATTATGATAGCCTATAATGATTTATTTAGAATTTGTAAATAATATATAACTGGTGTACATATATAGATATATTAGGTTTAGACCCAAACACAAAATCCATTAAACCCAATATTTAATATATAATTGGTGTCTTTTTCTTTTCATGTTTCTTGTCTTCTCTTACAATATTTTTATTGCTTTATTTTTATTAAATTTAAGTTTCAGATGTTTCAAAAGTTTTAATTTAATGAAGAAAAATGACGATTCTAATACAAAATCGCAATTGAATTGAATTCTTGTATATCCATCAAGGTTAAAACATCTCCTAGCCTGTTACTTCATGTGTTACACATATACCTTTACCAAATAAGTACCATATTTTTAAAACCTAATCCTACAGTAATCGAAATCGTAAACAATAAATAACTACAATTGTTAGAGGGATAAAAGACATAATATCCAGTTAACATATATATTGGACAGACAATATTGCTTTAAATCTTAATGATATAACACATCCGTTCTTTTATCAAATTGTTCACATCCAATATATTAAGTAATGTATACTTGTTATCCATAAACCAATATTATTAGTTATTTTTTGATCGGTGATCAGTTATCATAGTAGATCTTAACCTAAAAATTATTCGAGTAGATAATATGATGTCTGTTAGTTCACTCAAATTGAATAATACAAGTGACGTAGTTGGGTTTAGAAACCCTTATAACAACCATTTCCAACATGCAAGTGAAATGGTTGTTAGCTAGATAAAACTTTATAAGAACAATTAATCTTAATAGTAATTATAAGTGGCGGTTAACTCATAATGCAACAAGTTATCCTAAATATTCTTTTGGATTTTTTTCATATATCCAAAGGATAAATCCTAAACCTAAAAGATAAAACTATAAACTCAAACCCATATGATAAACATTAAACTCAAAGGATAAACAGTAAACTCTAAACACAAATATGAACACTACTCCAAAAAGTGAACCTTAACCTTATATCCAAAGGATAAACCTTTAGCATCAAATTATAAAACCTAATCCTAGAGTAATGTAAGTTGACAGGGCTGCGTTTCAGGGGTTTAAAAAATCTTATTCTACTCTATCAAATTACCTTATGAACTCAACTAAAACATACTCTTGCCAAGAGAGATTAAATTGCAGTATTTAGGGATCGAATCCACAGAGAGCAAAGCACACAATAGAATTAGTAATCTTATGGTTAAGCTAGGAGAAGTATTTAAACTAGTTATCAGGATAAAGTGAAAAGGAAATCTTTTAGAGTTAACTTAATTCAAATAAGGAAAATAGCTAGATCTAGGGTTTTGGAACGTGAATTATAATTGATAGGTTTTTCATCTTTAATACACAAGGTAACAACCTCCCACTATTTATCACTATCGATTTATGGTCGAGTATTGACATCGATCGATGGTTGTGGCAGTTGATTACCATCAGGTATGATCGATCAGTTATCACTTCTTTCTAGCAAACCTAACTTAATTAGAATGTATCCAGTTAGAACCTACTCTCACAGTATATTAAGTCCTAAGATCAAGTTGTAGTTAGCTACTTTAGAGCTTGCATTAAGTATACTTCCAATCAATGGGTATTAATTCTTCGAGCAACCTATTTTGGGGCCAATTCAACAGAACCATATCAAACCCTAAATCTAACAAAGAGAACTACTCAGACATAATCATGCTGAACATATTCATAGTCTGAAAAGAATGTATAGATATAAAACTGGGGTTCCAATACAACGCAATGGGAAAAGTATTTCTAGCTCCCCAAAAAACAATGAAAATCTATCGAAGTAAAAAGCGCGATTCTCTGCCCAAGGGTGGCAGAAACCATTGTATAATTAGATAAAAACTTGTCAGGGTTAATCTTGTAATTATGCTGGTCTTGGGCTCCAAGTCCGATTCTGAGTAAAGTCGGATCTCTTATTGCCTTGACTATCGATCGATGTTAGGGAAGCAATATCGATCGATGATGATCTTGTGGTATCGACTCTAACATTGCTGATTCTTGTCAGCTACGAATTCTTCATCCAAAAAGCTCCAAAAACTCCACAAAACTCCCAAATGAAACTAGACCTCAAAACAATATAATATATAGCCTAGAAACACAAAATAGACTCCAAACAGGGTGCATATCATGGTCTAAAATTGGTAAATAATAGGGTATAACAACTCTCCCAGATTTAACATTTTCTTGTCCTTAAGCAAAACAAAGCAGCCTGTAAAAGAGGTTATGATCAATGCAATGATTCACAATATGTATAAACCTCCTATGCCACACGCATATCTCATTATGTCAATTTTAGAGTACTTCATACCTCATCCTAGTATAGAAACCAAATCCAATCTACCAACAACTTAGCAAATACTAGTCTGACCCGCCTCTCTAGTGTTTTCATTTCTTACGTAAAATAAATTTGCAAGCTTTACCTTTGGAGTATCGAGCAAAGGACAATTGGACTCAACTCCTGCAAGTATCTGATTACACATGCAAAAAGTCTTTTTGATCCGTTTCTTCCCTCTTTCTCTCTTCTATGAATCTTTTCTAATTCAATGCCAGTGAACTAAGACATGTATTAATGCCTTCCATCTTGTTCACCTTTACTGATTTTTTTTTCAACTAGGTGTAGGCGAATAGTGGGGCCATGGGTAATGTACCTACTCCTCGCTTCTACAATGTGTGATCATTCTTTTGAGTTACAACTGTGGGGTCATTGGTAATGTACCAACTCCTCTGAATCTCAAGAAATCATCTCAATCTTTTATATTCCTAATAGATGCCAAAGAGAGATTGAGAGAAGGGAACCAGAAACACACAAACTTTCATACCTTCTAGACTTTGAGATATATTTCTATCTAGTGTATACCAAGCCCCAAGACAAGCGAATTAGTCAAATTAGGGTTGGACGTCAGCTTTGGTTCCTTCAGACTTTCTAAGCAAGTGGAGTCTAAATGCAGAAAGATCCACTTTGGTATCTGATATCACTCAAATGTTTAACCCTATGAAGTGAATTACTCTCTGAAATAAGAGGTTCAGTTGTAGTACTTAGGGATTGAATCCACAGGGAACTAAGGAACACAATAGATGTAATCCTAAGTGATTATGCTAGGTTGATTAGGTTTAAAATAGTAAATTGCAGTTTGTAAGCAATGGTAAGTTGCTCAAGAGAATAGGTTTTGGTTTAAAACAATAAAAGAAAGTAGTTAGATTCAAGGTTGCTATTCAGATAATTAGGATTATAATGCTACAGATGTTTTAATGAATTGCTTGCAAGATATATAAGAACTTCGATTCTTAGACAGATCTAATAGCAGTCGCTAAATAGACTCATCCATTGATCTTATTGCCGGCAATATCGATCGATGGTACGATCGGACGATATAGGTTGCCGTCAATTGATAACTCTATAGGAGTATCGATCGATATATCATAAGATCGAATCGAAATTGTGTTCACCAAGATCATAGACCGGCTCTCGCGTCACCCTAGAGGATCTAAGCTTATGCCAAATGATTTTAGGACAATGATTAACAAGTTAAATCACATCCATGATCATACTCTAGGTAGCTACTATAGAGTAAGCATTAGGGTTCATTTGGATAATGAATATCAACAATTCAACATTCCATAGTTGGGGCTAATCCCTCATAACTATTTGAACCCTAAATCTAACAAAGAAATCTACTCAGACATAACTGAGAGATTCATAACAGCAAGGTAATAATAAAGACTCATTAGATTAGAAGATTGAACTTTTGGTTCTTGGAACAACAAATCTCTTTGTGTGTTTCTTCTACATTTAGAATTCTATAACCTTTTGAGAATTAAGATGAAAAGAAATATTTTATTGCTAAGTATAGAATATAACAAAATAATTCAAAAGCACAAGAAAAGTATGCGAAGCTTTTGAAGTACAAAAAGCACTAGAACAATAAAAGCATGCTTTGCCAAACACATAGGAAAAAACTATAAATATGAGTTCCATTAGGTTAAAAACTCGTCAGGGGCATTATTGTAATATTGGTAAGACTTGGGCTTCAAGTCGGCCAAGTCGGATTTGTTCTCCACGCATCATATCGATCGATGGTACATGGTGTACATCAACCGATGGAGTATCTCGACTTCATCTTCTAGGAAGCGTCATCGATCAATTACACAGGGTGTGTATCGATCGATATGTATCATTGTTGTCTGATCTTCATAGTCATCTCGGAAAATTCTCATTTAAGCTCCAAAAG